GGCCCACTAGTGGGCCTTCGAGTGCCATCTGGTGGCTTAATCATTTTTGGATGTGTGGGAAGGGGTATAAGTAACGTGTCCAGTTTTTCTCCAGTTGAATTGTAAAATAAAAAAATAATAATAATACATGTAACATTTACGTAATGCTTCAAGTTTGTTTAATATGTAAGATTGTTTTAAACAGTCATGTTCATATCGCTAATTGTATTTGATAAATTACACTTACAGTATGTAAATTGCGGTGAATGAACTTTGTTGAACATTTCTGCTAATAAATAGAGAGAATGTTCCCCTCTTGTGTGTCTGACCTGTCATTACAGGTATGTTAGCCTGGATGTGGGGATGTATTATTAATTAATTTGTTAAAAGAGTGTTCCCCTTGTGTCTGACCCAGTCATTGGTCTGACCTGCCCTGTTATTGTTACAGGAATAAATGGTTACGGAGTAAACCTTCCAAGTCTTTTTTTGTTACAGGTATGTTAGCCTGGATGTGGGGATGTATTATTAATTAATTTGTTAAAAGAGTGTTCCCCTTGTGTCTGACCCAGTCATTGGTCTGACCTGCCCTGTTATTGTTACAGGAATAAATGGTTACGGAGTAAACCTGCCAAGTCTTTTTTATACAAGGAGAGTTTTCATCTATATAGCTGACTTGACCTAGTCTGCTACAGTGGCATAACAGATTAACAGCAGATTATATCATTGTACTTTTTGAATTTTCTGTTATTCTGTGTTCATACTATCTTATTTGGAAAGGTGGTCCTCGGAATGTTTTTAAACAGTCATTGGTGGGCCATGAGTTGCAAAAGGTTGAGAACCCTTGATCTAACCTACATCATGTAGTGAATGCCTGCACTCTCTGGGTTTGTTTTTGTTTGGTTTCTGCAATATACTCGATGTCAAATCGCATATTGTTTAAACAACAATTACGATGTTATATATCGTTTATATATATATATATATATATATATACGGACGTAAATTTACTTTCCCTTCAGCCTGAGGCTTATTCATTTCACTTTTGGTGTGAAAAGGCTTTTATATTTGCCAAAAATATAACTTTTTTATTTTAAAAACAAACAAGCAAGCCCTGTCCAGATTTTAAAAGTAACGCAAAAGTAACATAATGCATTACTTTCCATAAAAAGTAGCTAAGAAACGTAATTAGTTACTTTTTTATGGAGTAACACAATATTGTAATGCATTACTTTTAAAAGTAACTTTCCCCAACACCGATAAAGATACACATTACACAAACATATATTATGTAAACAATCGCGATTAATCGTTTGACAGCACTAAAGAAATAATAAAGATAAACTAAAATATAGTAATATAAACTTCTATTTTTGTAATAGCTATCTTGCTTTAGGCATTGTTCTTATTCTGCTATACTGTGCTATACAGAAATGTATCAATAAAAATATTCAGTGTTCAAGACCTCTCTCACTTTTATGGGAAAATAAACTTGAATTTTCTAAATGTTTTGGATATTCTTAAAAAAAAAAAACAGAATGAAAATTGATTTTATTAAATTTATTAGCTTATATTTTGAACAAATTTCAAATTCGTAAAAATGCATAAAAATGTTACTAAAAACAACTTGACTTAGGTAAGGCTCTACATAGATAGTATTAGAAACTCTTGAATATGAAAGGTATAAAGACTTAAACTTTAAAAGTTTGTGAGCTTATATTTTTATACCACGTTGTCCCCTTATTCTGATTTGATTTGTATATGATCCATTTAATTATTTATTTTTGTAGTTTTTTCTTGTCCCTTTTCTGTATATTTGCATGCATAATTGTATAATGTTCAATATATGCATTTGAACGAAAGTATGTTATGCTTATTCAATACACAAATTGTAAATCTCACGAAGATGTTAAGGGGCACATCTCACCTCAAAATAAAAAAAATCCGAAACTAAATTTTGCATAGTGAAGTTTTTCTTTATTCTGTAATTCAAAATAACTGAACTGTGAGTAGCTTGGAGACTTTTATTTTGAAATCCGCATAACTTTTGAGAACCGGATGTAAACAAAACCTCAGCAGCAGCACGTGAGAGGTGGATTTCCATGGAAAATGCACGCTGTTTGTCCTTAAACAGTGCCATGACGGCCCGCAGTATTTTACTAACCTGGCAGTTTTTGCCTCTTGGACAACATTTACGGCGTGTCTTACCCGTGAAGGTGTTTAATTCTATCTTATGCACACGCTGTCAGAGTTTAGTGATGTCTGTGTGTATGCTCTGAATTTGAAGTGCGCAGAAGTTTCATCTGATGTGTAACGTACATGTTTTAGACGTTCAGAGATGCAGTTGCTGATGTTTTGTTTGTTTGCTTGTTTGTATCAGACCTTCTGCTCTTCCACGCGCGATGAGGTTCGCTTGGCAAAGGAGGCCAGCAAGAAATACGGAAAACCTGAACCCACTATATTTTCTAAAATAATTGACAAAACTATCCCTGCAGTTATCATTTATGAGGATGACAAGGTAAGTTACAGACCACAAGCCTTTAGGACCTTTGCTTAATATATTGTTAAGTAACATATTGTGAAATATTTATCTTAATTCAGACTTTTTTGTAAAGTTTTATACATTTTATAAATGAACAGTGTGCATGTCAGTTTGCATATATTGTGAAATATTTATCTTAATTCAGACTTTTTTGTAAAGTTTTATACATTTTATAAATGAACAGTGTGCATGTCAGTTTGCATATATTGTGAAATATTTATCTTAATTCAGACTTTTTTGTAAAGTTTTATACATTTTATAAATGAACAGTGTGCATGTCAGTTTGCATATAGTATAACATATATAATGTTGCAGTGTCTAGCTTTCAGAGATGTAAATCCCCAGGCTCCTGTGCACTTCCTGGTTATTCCAAGGATTCCCATTCCCAAGATCAGTGAAGCACATGATGATGATGCATCGGTTTGTCTGTCCATATATAAATTTTATTCGTTTCTAGTTTTAATAATTACAGAGCACACCTCTAAGATCTTGACATTTTCCATCCAGCTCCTGGGTCATCTCTTGATAGTGGCCAAAAACATAGCAAAGAAAGAAGAACTGGATGAAGGATACAGAGTCGGTGAGTGAAATATCCTTTGTTTGAAATGGGTTCATTTAGCATCTTTATTATCCTAACCCTGTAAAGCTTGACATCTAAAACACACACACACACACACACACACACACACATATATATATATATATATATATATATACATACAGTACTGTCATTTCTATATTTTGCTGTAGTGTGTTGTATTATTTGCTTAATTATATGTCATTATTATTTTACAGTCATTAATGATGGAAAAAATGGGGCGCAGTCCGTGTATCACCTTCACGTTCATGTTCTCGGAGGACGGCAAATGAAATGGCCTCCAGGATAGATGGAACTACTGTCAGAAAAAGAAGTAATGCTCTGCATTTTTGGAGGATATGAGCATAACTGATAAACAGTACAAAATGGAAATTTGTTGGATATTATCAAAAAATATTTGTCAAATAATGAGTTAGTGGGAAAAGTGTAGAACTATTTTCTACATTAAAAGAGTTTTACGAGGTTTTTATTTTGCAGTTGATGTTAACAAGCTGTTGGGTAACCTGCACTTAACTGGGTTGGGTTACCTTTACTGTTGTTTACTGTAATCACTGGGTAATAAAAATGTTCTGGTGAGTTTTGCAAGTTTCACAGGTTAATATGGGCACAATGGGTACTACATGTTCAGCATATGCAAAAATGTACTGAAAAGAAGGAAGTATATAAATAGGAAGAAAATGCACAATGGGTTTTAATCATGAAATGCAAGTAGAACAAATTCCTTGCAAAGAACATTCTTGCATAAATTGTTGCATTCAAGTAAATGGGACTGTTTACATATAAATGAATGTATACTGTACATGATTTAGAGTACACAACAATTCCTTCCGCCCATGTTCCATGAATAAGGACCCCTGCGTTTATACCATGAAGACACATTTCAGGACGTGCTGAAATAAAAACGTACAATCTGAAATCATGTAATAGACCTGGTTTGGCCTCAGCTAAGGGCATCCTGTAGAGCTATTAACTGGTGACAGGTGGTGTGATCGGGTGACCTTGGTGGCCACTGGGCCGGTTTCTATGGGTCACTCGTGAGTGTTTATATTAACTGAACTTTAATCCTATTTGCTGAAACATCAGAAGCATCTGTACAGTTCAGGCATCAAATCATGTCTGTGCTGACTAGAAGAAAAAATGTAATCCAGAACAATAGTAATCTTAATATTTTAAACAAACAACTTTGAGCCTTTCATAATTTAGTTTAAAACATATTAACACAGAGTAAAACATTAATTCGATCTAAATTTAACAAAACACTGGGATTTCTGGAACTGTGGTAAATATATAATGGTCATTTTATCTGGCATATGTTAAGGATTTTTATTAGATGAAGGTTGCAAAATGGTAAATGTCCACAACTGTCTTATCAATAATGAGTTTTGCTTTATCTTATCTGCTCGAAAACTTGGTGGAATCATAATCTCTCGGCTCTTTCACACTATCTATTTGTGGCCTTGGAGCTTATGTAACAATCTTAAGGAACAACGTGTTGATCAATAAACAACTCTGAATTTAACGTGTCTCACTATCACTATAAATATCACCTGAAATATCAAAAGCAGGTCTGCGAACATGAATGAATGAATATTAATACAGAAATCTGCTGTTGTCTTGCAAGCATTCGTGCAAATGCCATACAATGCACCTTGAATAGGAAGTTATTTTAGAATGCAAATTTTATTGAAATATCAGCTGTAAAATATTTACATGACATGCCAGATATGATCAAATTTCTTTAATTTCCGATTTAAGTCTGTGAAAGACATTCATACGTTTTGTGTGTATTGTTAAAAAAGAAAGAACATCACTAAACGTCAACATGCAATTTCGTTGATAATTTATTTTTATTTTTATATGGTGCTGTGACAATCGTTTGTTTACTAATGGAAATGCCAACGCAGACACGAGCTGTGTGAAGTCCTGTCACCTGCTCCGCACGTCACGTGACATGATGGTACCGTGAGGCAATGGGTTTGAATGGAATAGTAGACGCACTATTAAGTTCTTACTCCACCTGAGAAACATATGTAGTTGTACACAGGGCAAAATCTGTGTTTCATCCATACCTGCTCGGAAACTACACAATTTCCAAGACTTCAACATAACAAACACTGGCAGGAAAAAAAACCCCCGGGCGAACATGTAAGTCAACTTTAATAGCTTTTTTTTAACATTAGTAAATGTATAACCTATGTCATAAAGATAATATGTTTGCAAACTCATCATACGAATGACATTTCCTTTCATTCTGTAAGTGACCTTGAGCTAAACCGTCACGGTCAAATGTATAGGTTTCTAGTAAATATTCAGGTTAATATTTAGGTGTTTAATTGAACGTGATATTTTGAGTGAAATGTATTCATCATGTTTTAATATAGCCTAGTTGTCACAAGGTAGATTTTATTTTATTTATTTATATTTTTCATAAAGTAGACTATTTTTCAAATGTCTGGTTGAGGCAAGTTGTCAAGTGCTTTTTAAATATTATAAATAGCCTAGATAAAATGTTCTAATGACATTATTTGTGGGCCAACATTTTGTATCCTATTTACCTGTTTGTTATATCCTTAATTGTTTTTAGTTACATAATTGATTTCCACTGTGATTTACCCCATATAGTGTGACAGTATGCCTACTGTATATGTGGTGTATATTTTGTTTTCCTGGGCATTAACAGTGTAAATGTCCAATATATTTTTTCTTGTCAAAACGTGTGCCTATACAGAAATCGACTTTAAAATGAAACCCAACCTAAGAAATATTCACAGGATTAAAAAAGTGTGATAGCTAGCCCCAGTCTCTGTTATACTCTTGAAAGAACAAAATTAAGGATCTCTCTTCTCCTGCTTTGTCATCAGTTGGTTATGTGTCACTTTAAATATTATATGTTATAGAACTGTTGCAGTATGATCATATTATTAACATGATAGCTTTTTTCCAAGCAAGTGCATTTCCATTTCCTGTGATTATTTTATTTATTTTTTTTATGCATAATGCTTTGATTCAGTAGAACATTACCTTGGTATTTTGTGAAAAGCTGCCCATGTGATTGAATGAATATTGAACCTGACACCTCCACTCCCACACCTTTAAGTACAGATTAGGATCCAATGCCTTAAAACCATCAAATTATTTCACAAGATTAGTTAGGCCTATTTCATTGTCCTTGTCGGTAATGAACTGTGTCATTCTCAGAGTTTTTTTCTCATCTGTGGACAAGTTCAGTTGGGCACAGATCATGATGTGGCCACACTTGTGTTGTAATTATCATGAACCTTGTCCTTTTGCAATCTTGAGTAGTCAAGTTATGAACTTCTGCTTGAGGCATCATTTCCAGGATTTTCCAAAAGAAAAAAAATAAACTTTTATTAATTTTCTTTAAATGAACTGTTATGGAATTGTAACATTTCAAAAAAATGCCAAAAAATGTTTTTTGTTTTGTTTTGTTTGTTTGTTTTTTGCTCACCGGCCCAATATATCACAATCACAAATATATATATATATATATAAAATATGTCTTATAAAATGCAATGTCCAATCTACTCAACTTAAAGGAATAGTTCACCCAAAAATTTGTCATCATCATTTTACTCACCCTGAAGTCGTTACAAACCTGTATGATTTTCTTTCAGGTGTTGAACACAAAAGAAGATATCTTGAAGAATGTTGGTAACTAAACAGTTGCTGGTTGCCATTGACTTCCATTGTATGGAAAAAAAACTACTGAAGTCAAAGGTTACCGTCAACTGTTTGGTTACCGACATTCATATCAAAATATCTTCTTTTGTGTTCAACAGAAGAAAGAAATTCATACAGGTTTGGAAGCGGAGCGGGACTAAATGATGACAGAATTTTCATTTTTGGGTGAACTATATCCCATTAAATGCCAAATGTATTAATTACTTAGACATCCTCTAGATGGCATACTTATACAAACTTCAAATGCACATATGTTGTAAGACTAAACCTTTGCAAACACGTATTTCTTCTCATGTATAATTCTAAATGTAAAGATATGCACATTTGCACATCAGACTATGTAACGTAATACTGCCTTAATCTGAATTTCCTAATGGTGGTGATAGGTTAGTCATTGACAGTAACCTCTCGTCTGCTGCTTTCATCATCTGGCATTCTAGCCACTGGCACATATTGCTTAGTATTTTGCAAGAGCTGGGGGTACATATAAAAGATAAATGACATTCTGAATCCACTAGTGTTGGAGTCTTTTGACTGAATAAGACATTAGACATATAATATTTAAATTTATATTATAGCTTTTCATTATTGTATTTGGTCGCTACTTTGTGAACTCAAGCTTTTGTAATAATATTTTCTTTTGTTGTCATCTTAAGACTCTGTACAATGTCTGCCGATGAGTGTATATCACAGAGTGATTCCAAGGAAATTGCTGTCTCTGGAAATGATAGTGAAGGGTATGTAGACTTGTAGACTTAATCAATGAGATATGTCATATCTGTCCTCCTCCAATATTGTAGTACTTCATTATTTGCCTTTTTTATTGTCATTTTTTTTTATTGATGTATGTTTTATGATATCAAGTCTCATTTGTTTTTCTTGCTAGTTCTGTTAAAACTGAAGAATATCAGACCGTAGCACTCCATGACTCCAAAGACCAACCCAATGGAGATTGTTCATTCTCTGTAATGAAGAGTAACACAGGTACAGTCTTCACATGAATGTTCACAATATGTTTGCATATTAAAAATCCAACTATTTTGCATAAATTCTGAAGAGTATTCAGTATATGTCAGTCATGTTCTCCTTGCTGACAAATAATTAAAATAGATTATTCACAAACACACACACACGCACGCGCGCACACACACACACACACACACACACTAATAAAACAAGAATTATATAACATAAAGATTAATATAATATAATTTACAAATGTAGCTGCAGCAGAAAAAAATACATTTTTCAAAGTTTTACATAAAGTTTATTGGAGTGTGTTTTACAAGAAAGTACTATTTCAGTCTTTCTTCTTCAAAATGTAATGTTTAATTCAATTTCTTTGTAATTATTTGTGAAATTTCTGAGTGAAAATTGTTTTAGACTCATTTTTTTTCAGTGTACAGTATGTAGATTTGAGGCCCACAACATGTAAATGTACCATAGTAATAATTAGTAATAATAGAAACTTTTATTAGAAATTGTTCTGTTCATTTATTTTTTTTTTAACCTGTTTCACACGTGGAACCTGATTGGTGAGAAACACACACCATATCCTGTCAGTAACCTGACCTATTTCTGCACTCTTGATAAGCTGTTTGTTCCTCAGTGTTATTCTGAGTGTGTGACAGGAGACGAGGGCAGGTGCCTGAATGGACTGATCTCTTCTTGCTTAAAGAGCATGCAGAAGCTTCATCTATAAATTTGCAATACCTTTCAGAAGCACTTTTGAAATATAATCATGTCTCCTGTGTGTCATTGCTGTCCCGATCAAAAAGGCAATGACCCTGCTATACCATTGACGACTGGAGGTGTGCGTCTCGCTCCAGCCCAGGACCTGTGGAGCACAGTCAAAAACAAGCCTGTCAAACTGAGGATGGAGACATCGGGACTCGGCTCAGAACCTCCAATGACGATCCATCAGATGTTCCTGGCTACAGTGCAGAAGTACGGAGACTACCCTGCCCTCCGTGGAAAGAAGGATGGAACATGGGTCACTCTGACCTATAAGGAGTACTATCAACATGCAAGAGCAGCAGCCAAAAGCTTTCTGAAGGTACGAATGAATTTCAAATGCTTCAAAAAATATATTTTTTAAAGTGTACACTTTCAATAAAAAAGGTACACTGTCACTGGGGTGGTACTTTTTCAAAAGATACACCTTTTAGGTACTAATATGGAGCCTTTAGGTACAAAGGTGTACCTTTTGAAAAGGCACTTCCCCAGTGACAGCTTTCGTACCTTTATTTCTGAGAGTGTATGCAATGGATTGTTATGTGATACTTGATAGCTGTTTACTTCATGCATGGAATGTGATGTGGTGTAAATAATATTTACTATGTTTGTTGGATCTTTAAAAACACAAACATTCTATTTTTTTAATCTAGAAGTTTATCTAGCATATTTGTCATATGTTTTTTTTTATATCATTTGTGAAATGATCAAACTATTGGCTTAAGGAATTAAGGATTCAAAACTTTTACAACTCTAGCTTCATTATTGTATCAAAGCTCCAAACAGCTCTAGGTGAAGAATTGTGTTTTCATATTCAGTCATTGTGCTCTTTGTGTACTCTAGCTTGGCCTGGAGCGATTCCATGGGGTCGGCATTCTGGGCTTCAATTCTCCTGAATGGTTTATAGCAGACGTTGGATGTATCCTAGCAGGGTATTGACTGAAAATGCATTTAAAAGTTAATCTCTGTTAAAGGTTAATCTACATGAAGTTAGAGAATGAGGAAAAGACGTCAGAAAAAGTTTTCATGGAATGTGGGATCTGTTAGTCTGGATTTCTGAACACATATCTTGTTTTGTCACAGGGGACTGGCCACTGGAGTCTACACAACTAACTCTCCAGAGGCCTGCCAGTATGTCGCTGATAACTGTGAAGCTAATGTTCTGGTGGTCGAAAACAACAAACAACTGATCAAAATCCTCCAGGTAGTTTAAAAATGAACCATTTTCATTTAGTAGGTTATTAATGCAAGATTCATCCTAGAAAGACATGAACATGAGAAGTGATGCAATAAAAAATTCCAGAATTGCTAGTACAGAGGCATAATAATATTCTTTTAATAACAAAAATTAAAAGTTGGAAAGATATAAAAATTCAACAAAATTCAAGATACTTAATAGATAACTGATTTAATACTTCAATAAAATAATTAGATTTAAAAATTAGGCATAGAGTGTGGAACAGTGAGTTAAAATAGTTTAATAATTTATCCATTACACCACCTGTAAAAAAAAAAATCCCACTAAATATGTCACTTCCTTCAGATATGAGTGCTATTATGAACAAGCGTGATCTTGTTAGAAAATATAACATATTAATGTTTTCCTGCATGACGTACAAAAACGTAAAAAAACGTAAAAAAAACTTCTGTAACACTTTAAAAGTTTCTGAATGTTCACATTAGTTATTTCAATAGCTAACATGAAATAACAGTGAACAATACTTTTGAAGCATTTATTAATCCTCACTGATGTTAGTCAGTGAAAAGTCTGTGAATTAATACTATTTTTAAAGTATTAAATATTAACCTTAATGTATTATTATTATGAACATTAATGAACAAAGACCAGTAATATGTATATAAATTACTGAATCTTATAAAATACTAATCAGTTTTCTTTCACTGTCCTCACAGGTCAGAGATCAGCTGCCACATTTGAAGGCTATTGTTCAGTACAAGGGTGAACTGGAGCAGAAGTTACCCAATGTATATACAGTAAGTTTTTGCCAAAAAAAAACTTCTGAATGCCAAATGGTTGCACAAAACATATACATGTAAGAAAATACAGATAAGGCAGGTTCCCTGATAATTATAGGTAAGTAATGTTTGTTCCCGAATGAGGAAGTATCAGAATGTAGTTTTTTTACTTCACAAAAAGCCAGTCAAGGAAAATGAATGTAAACAGCAATGTATTTGCACAGTATGTCTACTAATCAAACGGTGCTCCTGATATATGCTTCAATTTGATGTTCTCTCAGTGGGCTGAATTTATGAAGTTGGGAGAGAGTGTCCCTGATGTTGAGCTGGATGTGCTGATAGACAGTCAAAAGGCCAACGAGTGCTGCACATTAATCTACACATCAGGCACCACAGGGAATCCCAAAGGGGTCATGCTCAGCCATGATAATGTGAGTACCACTTAAAGTGTCACATAAAGCGACTAGCTCAGCACTTACGTCAATGCCAAATTTAATTAATCACATATAAAACATACTGGTAATAAAAAAAAAATGTATAGCCTGAATGCACTGTAAGTCGCTTTGGATAAAAGCGTCTGCTAAATGCATAAATGTAAATGTAATGTAAATGTAAAACCAGTGTGATTCTTTTCATTTTGATGGGATAAGTAGTGCTGTCTCTTAAATTCATCCCTCCTCTGTCCAGATCACTTGGACAGCCACTGCAGCAGGTCTCATGACCAGTCTGAAGATGTCTGAGGAGGAAATCGTGAGCTACTTGCCCTTGAGTCACGTGGCAGCCCAGGTCCAAGACATGTGGATCTGCATGAGGTTTGCCGCCATAACCAATTTCGCCGAGCCAGATGCCCTGAAGGTTAAAATCCATCTTTTATGCTGAATTTTAAGATGCTTACACTGTTTACTTTTGGAAAATATTTCTTTTTTTTTTATTTTCTTAACTAGCAGTGTCTTTGTTCAAATCACTGTAGGGCTCCTTGGCCAACACTCTGAGAGAGGTGCGTCCCACGAGCTTCTTGGGAGTTCCCCGAGTGTGGGAAAAAATGCAGGAAGCAATGAAATCTGTTGGTGCGAAGTCGTCCGTCACGAAGAAGAAGATTGCAGACTGGGCCAAGGGGATCGGACTTCAAGCTAGCTATAATGCCATGAATGGGTGCGTTTTAAAAGAACCATGGATTCAATTATAAATTGAATCATCTGAAAGAATCCCAGAGTTCATTTTATTTCTTTACAGTGATTCCTCAGTGCCGTGGGGCTTCACGTTGGCGAATGCCCTGGTTTTCAAGAACGTAAGAAAAGCTCTGGGTCTTGACCGCTGTAAGGCCTGTTACACAGGTGCAGCTCCCATCACCAAAGACACACTGGAGTACTTCATGAGCCTTTACATCACTGCCTTTGAGCTGTACGGCATGAGCGAGAGCACTGGACCTCACACCATCTCCTGGGCTGAGGGTTATCGCATTATGAGGTCAGAGACGTGATGTGATTTATATATTAACATATCTGCTGTATTTGAAATTACATAGATGTTTTAAAGGAATTTTTGTTGTTATACTCACTTCACCTCAAAGAACAAATTTTTGCGTTCATATGGGAAAAAGATGGCATGTGGGTTTGGAATGACATGCTTTTGAATAATAGCTAACTAACAGAATTTTAACTTTAGACGAACTATACCTTTAAATGATTCTAAGGCATTGTTTGGTTTTGTAGTTACAGTGGCCCTAAAAACTAATTTGAAACTTAAAGGGATAGTTGACCCAAAATGGAAAAATCTGTCATCACCCTCAAGTTGTTTCAAACCTGTATGAGATTCTTTCTTCTGTTGAACACAAAAGAAGATATTTTGAAGAATGTTGGCAACCAAACAGTTGACAGTAGCCATTGACTTCCATATTATTTTTTTCCATATGACAGAAAGCACACAAAAATGCTATTAAAAAAAAACTGTAATAGCATGAACATATGGCATCATAATGAAGACGAACTATACGTTTATACGTGAAATTCCGGAGGGGACGTAATCATGTGTGCCATTAATCGATCTATGTTCTATAACATGTAAAACGGGAACATGAAAGGAATATTCTAAAAGCCACTCATGTTAACACCTTAATCGTAATATTGTCTTATTCAGAATAAGGTAAATAATTAGATTACTGATGTCCATGTAAACGTAGTTACTGTTAAAATAATATTAAAAACAAATTTCACAAAAAAGTCGTATCATTCACAAAATTCAGAATTAATCAAAAGCCAAAGCAAATAAAGTCTTTAGGCCAAAAGTGTCCATACATTGAGAGGATTTTATAGAAAATGCCAATTTATTTCACAGTGTATGAGCTGGAAAAGAAAGAGTGAAAATCTCCTTACTCTTCAAACAAGACCACGAAAAAGTTAGACACATTCCTCCAAAATGTCCATGTTAATGTGATGAACTCCACTCGTGTGAACTTGACTTCAAACATCCACTAAGAATGACTATTGGTTGAAAGTCATTGGTTACTTCTGAAAAAAGCTCTATCATGTTTTGTTCTCCTTCAGTTGTGGTAAAGTGTTGACTGGCTGCAAAACTAAGTTAGACAAGCCGGATACTGATGGGAACGGTGAGATCTGTTTCTGGGGGAGGCATGTGTTTATGGGATACCTGAACATGCCAGACAAGATTGAGGAGGCACTGGATGCAGAAGGGTGGCTTCACTCAGGAGACCTGGGCAAACACGACAAAGATGACTTCCTGTACATCACCGGCAGAATAAAAGGTAGAAATACAGAAGTGGAGATTTTCACATTTGTAACATAAGGGTGCAACAGTGCCCACCAACGTTTTTAGCAAATTTGGTTCCAGAGGTATTTTTCCCGTAGGGACATAAATAAAGTCTTTGTTAAAGAGTTATAAGCCATAACCCAAACCAACCAGTAATGAGGTGAATCACAACATTACAAATTTTCATTTGAAGAAAAAGGTATTTGAGTGAACAAAACATTCAAAATGAAAATGATGGGTAAATGTAAAACTATTGATTTAAAGTTGTTGATTATGTACTGTATATGCAATTGCAGTTGTATGTCAGTTGAGGTCCTTCATGGCAGAGCGGGCACTAAAGAGCTCTTTTGGTACAATTTGCTTACTGTGATTCTCTGATTGGTGTAGATTTCTTTGGGTAATTGGTAGATTGTTGCTTTCTCTACCTTTGAACAACTCTCATATTACTGTGAGCAGAAATGTATCTAAGATAAATGCATATAGTGTGACAACCAAAAATTCATTTATACATGTGTATATCTAATCACCTTATTCTTGCAGAATTAATCATTACTGCTGGTGGAGAAAATGTACCTCCCGTCCCTACTGAGGATGCCCTAAAGGAGGAGGTGTCAATCATCAGCAATGCCATGCTGGTTGGAGACAAAAAGAAGTTTCTCTCTATGCTACTCACACTCAAGGTGAGTCTACATTTACTTAAAAGAATAGTTGACCAAAAAAATTAAAATTGAAAATGCACTCACCCTCAGGAGCTCGTTTCTTCATTTTGGATTTGGAGAAATGTAGCATTACACTTAAGGATAACAGAAGATCCATTGGTGAGCAAGTGATGTAATGCTAAATTTCTCCAAATCTGTTCCTATGAGGAAACAACCTCCCCTATACTTTGGATGGCCTGAGGGTGAGTATTTTTAAGCATATTTTCATTTTTGTGTGAACTATTCTTTTAATGAGACCATTAAATGTACACATTTGACCAAATTGTTAACATTTATACCACCAAAAAACTTTGCTAATGTGCCATTTTTCAGAATGAATGTTGTTCATTTTCTTTTATTTTTAGTGTAACATTGATGACAATGGAGACCCCACAGATGAACTGACCCCATTAGCGGTGGAGTTTTGTCGGCAACATGGTGTAATTGCCAGCAAAGTCTCAGAAATCATCAACAAAACAGAGCCAGCCATTTACAAAGTCATCCAGGAAGGCATAGACCGCGTAAATGCCAAAGCCACATCCAATGCCCAGAGAGTCCAGAAGTGGACCATCCTTCCACGAGACTTCTCCATATCTGGCGGAGAACTTGGTGAGTGTTATTTCTTTATATAGACAAGGATATTAAACAGAACAAGTGAGTTTATTGACAAACTGAATCTAATGCATGGATGTCCGTGATTATTATATTTTTGTAAAATGCTGCAAAAGTACTTGTATCTGTCAGTGTAACAGACAACTATGAGAAGCATTTGTGTCAATAGGTCTCACATGTTTTGATGAAAGGTCTGGCTTCAACATACTGAACATACTGAACGTATATTTGCCTAACCGCATTCCTAAACGCATAATTATAGTAAACAGGCTGATGGATCGATTAGATGTGAATGTGAATTTTTTTGTTTTTCTCAGGTCCAACCATGAAGCTCAAAAGGCCTGTTGTCAGTAAAATGTATCAAGAAGATATAAACAAATTTTATGGTGAATAACAGAAGAACCCAAATGAAACGGTGGGAATTAAATGGCTGACTACACTGGGATCATATTATTTTGCCATTGATCAGTAATCTGTATTTTGCTCACTCCAGGGCTTCCAATGGACCTCACTATTATAACACATCTCATTGGCCTAAGTCAGACTTTACATTATTTTATACCAATAGATTTATTGGCTTCTACAAAGTTGCAATTAATCAGTTTTATATCTATCTATTTGTCATTATAACTGGTTCTGTGTTTTCTGTACAATATATGAAATTGGAGTTGATTGTAAGTGATATTACTGTGCGTATTACTGTTGTTAAAACCGGCATATGAAGTCAATTTGTCTAAATAGAAATAGGTTTAGACTGAGTCTCACATGATCTGTACAGGATAATACTGTTGCTTGCATACCGAGTATTGTTGGTACTTCAAACAGTTACAGCATAACTGTAAAGAAACGTGTGACAGTTGTTTGTTCTCTTGCTGTTCAAATTTCACCCAGCACATTGAATATTTATAAGAGTGGAGATTATATGCTGGAATATATTAATAAATAATACATTAGAGCTCCACGAGTAAAGTATGCATTTGTACGTATTTGTTTGGTTCCTTTTATATATGACTTTCCTATGGTAAAAGTAATTGAGACAGTTCTGAATTGTGCGACAAACTCAGAATTGCGAGATATTAACTCACAATTCGGAGAAATAAGTCAGAATTGAGAGTTAACTCTTAAACTGTCTCTGAGTAAAAAAAAACTGAATTGTGAGATAAAAACTCAGAATTCTGAATTTTTTTCTCAGAATTCTATTTATTTTTGCAATTCTGAAAAAAAAGGGAGATTTAAAGCTGCAATTACTTTTTTTTATAAAAAGTATGTTTGTGTCTGCCTGTGTGCGTCTGTTCCCAAACAAAACAAATCATCTCTCTGATAAGGTACAACACTATAGGCACTGTGGTTTAACTCCACCGCGCCCCCCAGGTATTGTTTATATTGTGTTCCCGAACCAGTTTTGAAGTAATGCAGAAACGCAAGCAAGAAACTTCATCCCTTCATAAAAGCGTCTTCTTTTGTTCACTTTTTCAGACAGTTTCATTGAGACTGATCTGTTTTGTGTTCTGCATTACCAATTGTTGGAAGTTCTTTTATAATAATTGACCATGTCTGGTGTTACATGCAGCTGTAGAAGCCAATGAACTGTAAGTATTTCTTCTGATACAGACGATATGTGAAGTAGCTGAGAGATTAGATTTTAGGATATACAAGTAAATTTACAGCTCATAGGCATTATTCTGCCTATAGTATGTACAGCATTCTTATTTTTATGTAACTACCTAACTACATTCAGCTGAAAAAGAAAACAATCTTCTTCTTTTCACTGTTCATTAATCCCCCCCTCTAATATTTGTGTTTATTGCCTCTTTAAGATGAATCACTTGATGTATTCCTAATTTTTAAAACACCTTGGATAAAAGTGTCTGCTAAATGAAGAATAAATGTAAATGTAAAAACGCTTTGGAAGTCTCAGTGCAAAAGGGAATCGCCTGTCCTTAAAAAGCTGGGTAAGATGTGTATTAGTGCATAATCTTTGTCATGTGACCATTTATTTAGAAAGGGCCCATCAGATGCACATGGCAAAAGCATCAAGCACTTTTTAAGCTAAACATTTTAATTAATTTTTTTATCAAAGTTAATTTTGTACCTGGCAGGTGTAACAACATTTTAATATTCTTTTCAAAAGAATTATTCAAATATTCAGATTAATATACATTGCCCTGGCTGGTAAATAAAATAATAAACTTTCAAAATTGAATAATGTGCTGTAAGGCTTGGGAATGGTATTGTGCTTTAGTAACCTTATTTTTTCCCTCAATATTTTTTATATGTAAATGTAAATAATTCTCATGTCCCCCAATTATTCAACTTATCCATTCAACATTAATTCATCACATTAATAATTTTTCTCAACAGCCTGGTCATTGCTCTACTGATTATCAAACATGATATCTGTCCATTAAGGACAAAGTCCAATCAAATGAAGTCATCAGTTCACCTTGCATAACTTCACCTGTAATAAAAGTGCTGGAAATTAACCATTTTCCTTCACTATAATCTCTGGCCAGTAGATGATATCAGAAACTGGACTTTGATCTAAACACAAGAATCAACTACATCCATTCTCACTGTCTTACGTCTTTGTGCTCTAAATGAATTTAATACTAATATAATACAAATTAGCTCAAAGGTTGTGTATTTCATCCGTCTGACCCGAGCAGTTTTAGTAACTGATCAGACTGGCTCTGGAATGTCCCCTCATGGGAGTGAGCTGGTTGCCTTTATCTCTTGCAACATAGCCTGGCCAGCTTAAAAACTTTATCCCCAAAAATGACTTTCATTGGTTTTGGATTTAGCTCATTTACTTACAAAATTACCACATACCTATTTACCGAATCAAGTCTTACACCAGTCTTAAAGGGATAGTTGACCCTAAAATGAAAATTTAGTCATCATTTATTTTCGTGTCGTTTGAAACCTGTAGGTTTTTTTTTTTTACTTTCATGCAACAAAAATGTAAATCTTTTGCAGAAATGCAGAATATTCAGGCTGCTCTGATAAAATGTAAAAGCTTTTCTTCCTCTGCTTTTTTTTAATCATACCTTTATTGTCAATATATGAATAACAAAAAAACTGAGCTTTTCTTAATTTTATTGCCCATTATTCATTCCATCAGCTTATGACACTTAATGTAGGACTTGATGGCATATATTCTCAAGGTATAGGCAGGGTATACAAGTGGTTTATTAAAAACAGTGCAACACTGCGCTCATGTGGTCATAAGACACTCGATTCACACCAGTTGCATAAAGTTCATAGCACACTGCATCTTAAAGAACAATTTAATTAATTCACTTGCTCAACAACAAACAACCAGCAATAATGGCAGATAAGGTCATCATTCAACAAGTATTTGGTTCCAAAAATCGGATTTCTGTGTGTCCATGCTGAACTGGCTGTTTCACCAAATGCAAGCCAGTACATCCAGTGGCTTCTAGCACAGTGAAGAGCCTTCTAGTGGTTTGTGTAAGGAACTACAGGTCCTCTCTAATGCTCTAAAGCAGGGGTGGGCAAACTTGGCCCTTCCAGGCCACTTTCCTTCAGAGTTTAGCTTCAACCCTAATCAAACACACCGGAACCAGCTAATCATTGTCTTCAAGACTACTAGAAGGCTACAGGCAGGTGAGTCATATCAGGGTTGGACCAAATCTCTGCAGGAAAGTGGCCTGGAAGGGCCAAGTTTGCCCATCACTGCTCTAAAGCATTTTTACATTTTTTATACATAGATTACAACTATATGCTTAATGGTAGGCCAAAATCTGTGTGCTGATGTACTATTTAACATTCAAATATAGCTATAATTTTAACCTGAACATCCACATATTCATGTAGTGTAACTGCATAAAATCCATATAAACTGTAAAATCTGAATATAGTGTATTGTAAAAAAGTCTATAGATATGTAATACATAAATGAACATAAAATATAAAAGAAAAGTAAAAAAAATAAATAAAACAAAAATCAGTAACAACAGACCTTCTGAAGTGCATGCAAAATATACTGTTAGACAAGATTATAGCTTAGAAGGTCAAGAAACTTTTCCTAAGGATGTTTGTAATGTTTTGTCAGTAATATATTGTGGAAAATCTTAATAAGACAAGTTGGAAAGGACATCACAACAAGAGATAGGGATTGATGTGTTTTGTGTTATGCAGGAAATCAACATAAACAAATGTGCATGCAGGCTTGACATTAGTAAACTAATAATGATTATAAATGAGTAAGTCTCCTTGTTAAAACTACGGCTGTTTACATTTAACTTCACATTTCATATACAGTATATCTAAGAAGAAAAGAGCACATGCAGCTAATTGCCATTTCTTTGCTCTTCATTTTCATTTCAATACCCATCACAAAATGTCCCAAACAATGGGCAACAAAAGGTTTTATGAATTATATTTTCTTGTAATTCTCTTAATCTTTCTTTGGTATTGTGAAACCCCTTAAAATCCTTTTAAAACTAAAGTAGTAATGAAAAATATATGTATATGACAAACATTTCAGTAGGATATTATTTGCTAGTCTGACCATCTTTGCAAACTGCTGTGTGTGACATAAAGCCAGACGTACTGAATAAGTACTGTAAGTTCAAATGTAAAATGTTTGATCAATTTGAATGAAACAATTAAATGCTCTTTGGCAAATGATATAAATGTAATGATAAAAGTGAAGTGCAAACTCATTTGGTGATGATGGCAACAGCTTTCTTCATCCAAGCATTGTTATTGAGTAGAGAGAGCATGAAACGAGCCACATCTCCTCTTGACAGACTGGCCGATTGGCAGACCATTTTCATCAGGGACATAATAACCTTCATGAGTGAGGAACTCATTGGCTTTGAAAACAACAAGACAAATTACCACAAATTTAAAAGTACTCAAATTTGTGGTAATCTACGTATATGGCTTTGCAGCAAAAGCAAACTTCCAATAATGATTTATTTGTTATTAAGCATTTTGCATAAGCACTCAAATGTATTGTATTTTACCTAATATGAAAAAAATAAAATATGTAATAAAATTTAATTGGATGTTTTATTAATAAATCTCACCTGTTGTTGGTGTATTCTTGAGACCAGGCGGCCGGACAACAGTCCAGTTGATGTCGTCAGTCTGCTTAAGAAAGTTTTCCATTTCATACATGTTGTTCAGAACACTTCTGATCATAGGAAGCAACATGAAGCGGATGAGAAAGGAAGAATTGGAGCCTGAATTTGCTGTGAAGAGTGTCATAGCAATCCAATTACTACACCAGACAAATGATGAGACCAAAAATACTGTGTGGTAAAGACCTTTCGATTTTGTATGCCTATCCATAATAACAGCACTTACGGTCAGTGTACCATGAGGTCATGGTAATGATTCGATTGACTTTGACTTCACGCATAGCATTTAATGCTGCCTTCATAGACTGAGTGTAGCCAGGGACTCCATAAAAAAATGAGATTGGAAAGCCAAGACAGGACAACACAGCATCCTGACCCTTGAAGTGCAGTTTCAGGCTGTCTTCTGAGAAAATGTCTGCTTCAACCACCTATCACACGAAGACACGCGGTTAAACAGTACAAGGTTATGAGGCTGCATGCTAGTGGTAGCTACTAAATGAATACTGAAAATCTAAGAGATAAAATGTGCATCATCTGGACTGTGTAATGATCTGGGTGTTTGTCCCTTTAAGACCTGATTCGGGGTTTCCTCTGCCCCTGAACTCCTGTGTATATGCTGGGAAAAACACATTGTACTATCTATCGTTTTGTTGCACCTTCCTTTAACACTAATACATTCGTTGATGGTGACCTGCATCAGTGTGTTTCTTTCTTCCATAACGCACAAAAGGTTACAACTGGAACACGTTAAACATTATCTACATTGTACTGCCACCTATCATTATTTGGCATTACTGTAACCAGGGCCATTTCTAGCCAATTTGTGGAGATTCAGTGCATTGAGTTCCACAAATCTGAATGCATTATTTGTAAATTGACTGTTAAGATAAACATTTTGCACAATTTAGTATCTGTAATATCATTGTGTTGCCACTAGATGCCTGTATAGCCCTATGTAACAATCCCTAGTGGCTAAGACATTGCACATAACTTACACATAAATTAATTTTATTACATTTTGATTTGCAGCCGGCAGCCCATCGCTCTGTCATCGAGCATGTAAAACAGATGACGGAAAGGATCGACCGGGTCATGCCATTAGTCCGGACACTCTAACCCAATAATGTTGGGGGATCCAGTGGGGCGGCAGTCATATTTCAGGGTGACCGTGCCACTCTTTATCACAACCCTGCTAAAAGTGCCAGTACGTGCGCTCATTGGCGCCCCTTCAGCTGGTGGCGCTCTAGGCGACCGCCTATGCCTAGAAACGGCCCTGACTGTAACTGTATAACTGTCCTTCAAAATCTTTACTTCCTGCACAAAAAAATGTGGGGCAAGCAAATCATGTGATGATATCAGCCCATAAATGAAACACATTAAGATTTTATGCCACCCTTGTGACCGTTATGCTAAATTTTAGCCGTCTTCCTCGGTGACACTGTACAAAAACTCATATAACAACTAAAATAAAAGATAAAACAAAAACTTGCATATAAGTTATGCATTAAAACGTTAACATTTTCACCTTGGTGATTAAGAACTCTTTCATTTTATTCCAATCCTAAACTAAATAGTCATTTAAGCATTGTGCAGACTTGAGTCAACTAGATAAGAAAGAAAATAAGAGCTAATGAATAGCTCAGACTATTATACTCATACTTAACAAAAAATATTAATTTTGTCATGAAGGACCTTGGAAAAATGAATTTAGATGCATAGCCTATGTTATTGTGAATCTGCAGTCCAACCCATTACACCTGGGAGCAAATTCATGTACAATGTAACAGTATAAATTTAAGTATTTCATAATTTCACCATGCATTTTCAAAAAGAATAACAATACGTGACTTTGAGCTTAAACTTTCCTACTACGGTAATATTTACCTTGAGGTTCTCGTGCGTTACCGTTAGTTTTCCCGGGTTTCTGACGAGGGCAGTGACGGAGTGTCCTTGCTGAAGAGCCTGATTCACCAGCTGCTGCCCGGTTTGACCAGTCGCGCCAACTACTGCAATCTTCATGATTAATCCGGACAGAACCTTCTATTCCTGCTAAACAAGAAAATGTGCTGCCATAACATAGTCACAATCGTTTGCACAAAACCCCAGAAAAAGGGCTAAAATATGAATAGGGTTTCTTACAGGAATTTGCGTAGAACGTCGCGAAAAGTTAGTTTTGTTTGAACTATCTTCTGCTTGTGATATAGCTTACCAAATGTCCGGAAATGACACTTGTTATTGCACGACTCCTCCTCAACGACAACAACATAATGCCTCTGCGGACACATTCAAACAGAAAGTGTGTTTTTAGCCTAGGGAAGATATTTGTAAATGATCTGAAGCATGTGAGCATCACCAAATGAAGCATTTAATCCTGTCGTCAACACACAAAACACCTAAGAAAACAGTGACATAACGCATGTCATCTAGCGCACTGTGCGATTGCCCTCTCATGAAAATAAAACGCTCCTGTAGGCTATTTTTAATCATTATTTTGTTTTCATTTTGGCAGAGGCTACTTACGCTAACTTCGCCTACCAACACGTGGTAGTGTTACACAACACTGCAAAAAGACTTCACTTAACCGTCAGCCTCAGTGGCGCAGATGGTAACGCACAAAGCAGTTGTTTTTTGAACTCTAGACGTACTTTTTATTAAAAATGGAAAGGTAATAGTGATTATTATATAATACTATATTACATTACATTATACTCTTGAATCTGAAAGAAGTTTCTCTCCAGGTGGCATACAGAGGAACCAGTTTTGCTGGTTATGTTGGGCTGTGGACGGGACAAAGCCCCAACAAGTTTACAGTGTCTGGCAACGAACGCAGTAGGTTGATTTTTAAAAAGAGATTGTCTAGTGGATTTTGTGTGGTTTTAATTTACCAGATTTTCTTCATAAATACAGTTAATGGTCTTTCCTTTCTGTTCACAGATGTGTGTGTGATGGAATGAGCCGTTCTCTTGACCAGCTCAGCCAGAATTTTCACCCAGCTTAGTTCTGAACTGCCCAACAAATTCTGCTTCTCTTCTGCATTTCACAATGGAAATTAGTTGTATTTTAATATCTGAAAAGTAGGGCTGCTCGATATTCTGTATAAGGTATATGAACAAATCCATTTTGGCTGCCTATGGCTTCTAGTTCTAACACTGTTAGCTTGGCATTGAAAATGGTCAACATGTGACCGAAACGTTTGCCTTGTTTTATTCAGTAAATTGCATATATCGTTCTCATCTCGCTTGTGATGCTTTAATGTTTGAATGTGCGGACTCTTTTCAAGCTCTTCATCTTTGGGCTGCCTATTATTGTCATAGATTATGGCATTTATTTCTGTCCCACATTGTTAATGTACTACAAAATCTATCATATTATCGTAATTTTAAATGTTTTCAGTATACAAGTAATTTCTGGATTTGGATATTAAAAAAGGACTGAAGATTTTTCTTTAATGAGATTTCCCTTGTGTTTGAGAAAGCATGCACTCCTATTACATAATTTATTGACTAATTCATTTTCATTGTTACAGGTTTTATCCATGAATCCAGTATGTAATTGGTAAGGAGGGCAGTAATGCAGCATTTCACCTATCGCATGATATTTTATGGTTGTGTAACGGCCTCACATAGAGTTATAGAGTGCTCATTTCTCGTATGTGGTAACCAGTAGTACAAATCTAATCCTACTTCCTCATTGAAGTTATAATATTAGAATCTAACCATACAGTGCAGAATTTAGGATTTTCCTGGAGAGTTTGCAGAAACCAGTCATGTGAAGACTTTTCACACTACTATTCACACTTACAGCTTCACAGAGACTCAATTGTTTAAGCCACTCAGCTGTAAATCAGAACAGTCCAAGCATTGATCTCTGTTGAACTCTCACCCTCTTTCATGTCTGGCACCCAACAACTCAACAATGATTCTTAACTCATCTATATATCTATTTATGTATCGGAGTACTATTTTTCCTGAAAATCAGCATGAATATAAATGTGATATTGGTTTTATACAACTTTTCTGTAAACAAGAAACTAATTTGAAGTGACCTACATTTTTAGAAACAATATTGTCTATTTTGTTCTATTTCCTTAACAACTATTTCATCTTTGCCACCTCTCCAGTGCATAAATGTTTTTATTGGTACTGGTTTCATTTGAATGGTAATGTTACATTACTGCAATTGAATATATTGAACAAATGCAAGTACCACTGTTAGGTTAGAAAAACATGGGACCCCCAAGAGCTTTAGTACAGTTTGAACACTGATGTATGTGCATTAGTTTAAGGTTTTGGGGTGGTTAAGTGTTTGTGAAAGAGGTGTCTTCAGCTCACTTTCTGTAATAAAGCTTTTTAATGCGAGTATGATCTTCCTTCCAGGATCACTGTTTATACAACCGTCATGAGTGCCGGCACTCCTGAGAAGTACACAACAGTTGTCAGAGATGTAAGAACAAACCATAACACTACATGATTTTTAAAACAAATTTTAAAACATCAAATACACTTGTAATACACATTTACATAAAACATATGCTGCTCAAGATTCACTTTACATATGTTACCACCATCATGTCATGTGGTAACCTTTCATGAAGTCTAATTGTTTGGTTTGGTAACATAAGTGTTTTTGTTGAATGAAGAACATTTCTGTCTTAATGTAAGAGGTTGCTATAGCTTCTCTGATATCATTTTGGCATTAAGGGATTTTGCAACACTCAGTTGACATCAGTCCGTCAGCTGTTGCAAGGAGCAAGCACAGGAATTGGTGTGAATAACTAGGTCGGATGTCTTTTCTATGCTTTGGAAACTTCTGTCTCTTGCAATCATTAGTGAAGGAACTGTGACTGTTCTGTCTTAATGACATTATCTTTTTCAGATTTTCTTCATAAATACAGTTAATGGTCTTTCCTTTCTGTTCACAGATGTGTGTGTGATGGAATGAGCCGTTCTCTTGACCAGCTCAGCCAGAATTTTCACCCAGCTTAGTTCTGAACTGCCCAACAATTCTGCTTCTCTTCTGCATTTCACAATGGAAATTAGTTGTATTTTAATATCTGAAAAGTAGGGCTGCTCGATATTGGGGGAAAAAATGCCATTTTTCTGTGATATAGCCTGTTGCAATAGGAAAAGTATATTTTTTTTCATCAAACTACTTAAATAGATGCATTTGGAAAGAATCATTCTAAAAAACATTTTTTCAAATATCAGCATGACTGCAAATATATCACTGATTTTAATAACTGTTCAATAAACAAGAAGTTAATATTAAGTGACTTACATTTTAGAAATAAGTTTTTGCTTTGTTTTGTCAACACACAAATGTATACGTCTGTAATATATTATTGCATGCAATATTAAATGTTTATAAAACATGGCTTATACGTTAAAAGCATGTATGATGGATTCTCCCTTTTATACATGCAATACACAAATAAACTGACTGTACTGAATGGAATTGAATGTAGATCTGATTCTTCTTAATAACAGATCTCCTTCCCAGACCTCTATATTACAATATATTAAAATAATAAGTGTTCATTGTAATTATTGAGGGCTTTCTGGATCTCGTGCACATGTCAAAATCATTCAAAGAAATGCTCTCCCCTCAAATTATTTTGGATTTATTACATATGATGTACTATACACAGCAATATCCTCCAGACTTCTCCATCTGCTTCCTTTGAAAGTGCCATTTCCTATACAAAGTCCAGTCAAGTCGCATCAAGCTATTACCCTAATCCCTTCAGCGCTTGTTCACTTAATTCAGCTACACAGATGAAGACTGTTAAGACGCAGAGAAACAAACACACCTACTGAAGGCCTCGGGAGTTTGACACGAGGTCTGCTCTTATTTTTGAATGAAAATAGTGGATTTTCGCTCAGGACATTGAAGGTTTCTCGGGGGACATGGGGAAGCATGTGACTATGCTTTCTTTGTGTCCTCACAAGCTGATTTATTTCCATTTCTACTATTTCTACTATTAGCATTGACTAACTCAAGCACCGATGGGGTACACCAGGCGGATACATTCCTTTGGGTGATATGTTGTGGAAATAAATCTTCTGGGATTTCCTTGATTAAAGAGAAACCCACCAGGTGAGATTTACCCACCTTGATTTGTAACCTCTGGCTGTAATTTTGCTGACACTATTTACACATCAATTCAATTCAAGGAAATACACAGAAAATATATTAAGTACTAAAACTAATTTAATGGTAATCTATAATGGCATGAAATATTTAACCTTTTTTTTTTAAATAGGCAAGATTTAGTATGGGTTAAATTATGTTATAAATATGTCTACAAAGAATAAAATAATCATTTTGTATAATTCATAGAATATTGTGGAAATAAATCTTCTGGGATTTCCTTGATTAAAGAGAAACCCACCAGGTGAGATTTACCCACCTTGATTTGTAACCTCTGGCTGTAATTTTGCTGACACTATTTACACATCAATTCAATTCAAGGAAATACACAGAAAATATATTAAGTACTAAAACTAATTTAATGGTAATCTATAATGGCATGAAATATTTAACCTTTTTTTTTAAATAGGCAAGATTTAGTATGGGTTAAATTATGTTATAAATATGTCTACAAAGAATAAAATATATGAGCCGTTCTCTTGACCAGCTCAGCCAGAATTTTCACCCAGCTTAGTTCTGAACTGCCCAACAATTCTGCTTCTCTTCTGCATTTCACAATGGAAATGAGTTGTATTTTAATATCTGAAAAGTAGGGCTGCTCTATATTGGGGGGAAAAAATGCCATTTTTCTGTGATATAGTCTGTTGCAATAGGAAAAGTATATTTTTTTTCATCAAACTACTTAAATAGATGCATTTGGAAAGAATATTAAGTACTAAAACTAATTTAATGGTAATCTATAATGGCATGAAATATTTAACCTTTTTTTTTTAAATAGGCAAGATTTAGTATGGGTTAAATTATGTTATAAATATGTCTACAAAGAATAAAATAATCATTTTGTATAATTCATAGAATATTTAGTAGCAGTCTTATTCCACTGTACTGTGAGCAAGATTCAAAGCACATGTCACATGAGCTTTTGTCAACAGCTCTCTTAAGACATGTAACCTCAAAACGAGCATGTCTGTTACACTACACTAGATAATTCTGATGTCTGGTGAGCTAATGAATAACCTTCCTTACAAACGAAGTCTATAAATCCATAGTCAATAAAAAAATACTTAAAATACCCTCCATTCATCTCTGACTCTTTTTTTCTCTTGTTTTTAAAAATTGTGAGATAGTTACTCATGTTCTTAAAAGTAAACTATTTGAATGAATAACAGAAGATATTTAGAGTGAAGCAGGGTCACAGGTGTGTGTTGACGTCGTCTGCTCTGTAAGGAAGATTGAGGCCAGTGCAAGAGAGCAATGAAACCAGATTAACTCGCTCTCTGGATCTCATTAACGTGTGCAACAACATGACATGGTGTAGCCTGTTTTCATGCCAAAAGCTTGAAAATTTTGTACAGTCTTTTTAATTATCATCTAATCTGTGATATGATTTACTAGAGTAGATTTTTTTGGTCTGAATTGTATATAATAATATATGATATTACTAATGTATTGTGTAAATTGTGTATTACTGAATTAAGTTTTTTTTGGTACAATGGTTTCTTAAACATTTAAAAACGTGTTATACTTTTGTAATGTGATTTGTATTAAATAAATATATAAAATACGAATCATTGTGCATGATTCATAAAGTGTCATACAAGTACTTAATAAAAGTGCTTGTTATACTGACTAGACTCACATTTTCTACCTTCAGGAGAAGCCATGGGGTGAGGTGTAAAAAAACCCAGTGAATTCAATAGAAGATTTGATAAAGGTCAAATGTTTACAATAACATTTATATGAATGGCTAGAGTAAGTCAAAGAATGTATGTATGTGTGAGTTCTGTTTATTCAGAGACTATTTAGTGTGAATATAACTTGACCTAAATGACTTCTTCTTAAAACAGATGGAAATGCCATCCCAGGTGAGTTTTAACCAGTCCAGCAAAGCTTGTGTAAAACCTTATTTATCTCTCCTAGCTATTAAATTAGAACACCGTTGTCAATTATTTATGTGCAATGTCAATATATAAGTAACTCGTTAACTTTCTCAACATGCCTTCTTTTTCATGCATGTCTGCAGCGGCCATAAGTAAGCAAAACTCATCTTTTAAGACTTACAGTACACTGTAAAAAAACAGTCTAACTTATAAGAGAAAGAAAACAGCCTACTATTTAAGTCTTTTTACTTAAAATTCCATGGTTAACTAAATGTGTTAACTGCTGTTTCTTTGTAATTATTTTGTGAAATTTACTAGAAATTTTTTTTAAACTAAACTTACACCATTTTTTTAGTGTATAAATAATAATATCTCAAATGATGCTCTACTGGGTGTAATTCTAGAAGCCTGACATGAAAACTATTGCATTTATAACAAATCCGTTTAATTATATCTATTTAAAGAAAAAGGGAAAAACCCTTTCTGACCTCTGTCGCATTCTCTTAAAAGCAATAAAGGCTGCGGTGCTGATCCAGCGCTGGTACCGACAGTATGCGGCTCGCATGGAAATGAGACGCAGATACACCTGGAACATCTTCCAGTTCATGGAGTACGCAGACCTACAAGACCAGATCAAAGTAAGAAATGCATTCTCCACACTATTTTTAACGTAAGAGCGGGTGCGGCCATTTGTAAATTAAATGTGCGAGGCTTCCGGTGTCATGCTTCCAGTAATTTTGTACCTGCACAAAAACAGTCAATTTTGCTGCATGATATTGCAAACTGGTATTTGTTATCATATTATTTGAATTCATCATTATAATCATAAACGCACTGGTTTGTACGGTGGCCGAGAAGTGCAAAGCAAATCACAATTCTGAAAACAAAATAACAAATTACAAACGCAAATGCAAGTCTAAAAAACAAAATAACAATTCAGAAAGCACAACAACAATTCAGAAAAAACAGCAGAGTCGTGGTAGAAAGTTCAGAGATGGTATTAAAGTAGCTCAGTTTAAATGTATTGTATGAATTGCCCTTACTTTGGAATAAAAAATACGGGGTGTCTCTTTACATTTAGTTAAAGTAGCTATAAATCATCAGCTCCAGTGGCATGGATAAGCGTGTGTCATTGGCTGTTTGACGCGATCGACCGGGGTTCAATCCCGCCTTTTGCCGAACTTTTTTTCCCTCCCTTTTCTCTTCTCTTTCAATACATTTAAACTGAGCTACTTCAGATTAAACTAAAAAAGAGCTTTCTGGCAGCAAACCCACCAGATGGGTTTGGTGCAAACAGGGATAAAAATACCCCATGCCCACTGTTAAATATACTGCTGGATCTTTAATGTTTTGGGCCTATTTTTCTACCGAAGGTCCTGGACGTCTTGTTCAGATACATGGCATCATGGATTCTATCAAATACCAACAGATAAAAAATCTAAACCTGACTGCCTCTGTTAGAAATTTTATGATGGACCATGGTTGGATCTTCCATCAGGACAATAATCCAAAACAAACATCAAAATCAACACAAAAATGGGTCACTGAGCACAAAATGAAGCTTCTTCCCTGGCCGTCTCAGTTCCCTGACCTGGACCCTACAGAAAATGAGTGTGGTGAACTGAAGAGAAGATGCACCAACATGGAGCTGGGAATCTGAAGGGTCTGGAGAGATTCTGGATGAAGGAATGGTCTCTGATCTCTTGTCAGGTGTTCTCTAACCTCATCAGGCATTATAGAAGAAAACATTTATTTCATAATGTGAGTTTCCCCCATTTTCAATTGTTTTACTTTAATGTAAGTTTAGAATTTTGTGATTTTTTTGAATGAAAGATCAAAAAGATAAATGATGCAGATTTATTTTCACAGCCACCTTTGCTCATATTTATCAAGGGTGCCAATATTAGTGGGCGGCATTGTATGCTGATTAAGGGTAGGGTTTTTGGCCTGTCCCTCACTATGATTTTTAT